TTCCTATCTGGATAGTTTTTGTTTTGTTTTATTTTTTTCTACTGAGTTTTGAGAGTTTTTTTTTAACATACTCTAGACACAAGTCTTTTGTTGGAAATACAGTGTACATATATTTTCCCAGTACATAATTTGTCTTTTCACCCTCTCAGCAGGTCATTATCAGATCAGAAGTCTTTAATTTTGGTGATGTCCAGTTTATCGGTTTTCCCTTTTATTGATCATTGCTTTTGGGTGCATGTCCAAGAACTATTTGGTCTGGACTTTGTCACTTTTCTCCTTTTTCTTTTCCCGAAAAAACTTTGATTTACATTTTACATTAAAGTTTGTGATCCATTTTGAATTAATGTCTGCATAAAAATTTAGGTTGTTTTATTATTTTTCCTATGGCTGTCCAATTGCTCTAGCTCAATTTGTCGCAATAGCTATCTTTTTTCCATTTAATTTCTTTTACACTGTTGTCAAAAATCAGTTGGGTATATTCATGTGAATGTATTTCTGGGATTTCTATTCTGCTGTATTGATCTAGTAAACACTGTCCTGATTATTGAAGTTTTATAGTAAGTTTTAACAACAGGTAGAATGATTCCACCCACTTTATTCTATAAACAATTGTTTTAGCTAATTCTATATCCTTCACCTTTTCATGTACAATTTAGAATAAGCATATCTATGTCTACAAAAACCGTTGCTGTGATTTTGATAGGCGATGCATTAATCTAAGAGATAAATTTGAGGATACTTGACATTTTTATTTGTTGAGTTTTCCAGTCCATGAACATGGTAAGTTTCTTCAATTATTGAGGTCTTCTTTGATTTATTTTTTATTTTATTTTATTTTATTTTGTCTTTTTCTGTGTCCGGCAACGGATCGCAACCCTCAGTGTCGCCCCTGTACCGGACCGGGACCGGCAACGGAATCGCAACCCTCGGTGTTGCCCCTGTGCCTCGCTCAGCCAGTGAGCGGGAACCAGTCTGTATGTGGGATCCGAACCCTCGGCGGGAGCGCCGCCACGCTTCCCAAGCGGCGCACTAACGCAGTGCGCCACCGGGCCGGCCCTTCTTTGATTTATTTTATCATCACTTTATAATTTTGGGGATGCAGATCCCTTATGTGTTTTGTTAGATTTATATCTGAATATTTTATTTTCTTTGGAGTGGATGTAAATGGGATTGTGTTCTAATTTTAGTTTCAAATTATTTGTTGTTAGTATATGGAAACACAAAAACACAAAAAGCTGATTTTTGTATGTTGATCTTGAATTCTGTGGCCTTGCTGAACTCACCTACTAACTATAGGAGATATTCAATGTAGATTTTCAATGAGATTTTCAATGTAGAAAATCATGTTTTCTTCAAATAGCGACAGTTAATATTTCTCCCTTTCTAATCTGTATGGCTTTTACTTTGTTTTTTTTTAATTGCCTTATTGTGCTGTCTAGAACTTTCAGAGCTATGTTGAATACGATTGATGAAGGCAAACATTCTTTTTTTTTGTTTCTAATCTTAAGGGGAAAGCATTAAAATTTCACCATTAAGATGTAGGTATTTTGTAGGTGCTCTTTGTCAAGTTAAGGAAGCCCTCTCCCTCTGTTCCAGGACAGCTGAGGGTTTTTATTGTGAATGGGTACTGAATTTTGTCAAATACTTTTTTCTGCATCAGGTAGTATGATCATATGGTTTTTCTTTTTTTGCTGGTTGGTATGGTAATTTCTTTTTTTTTTTTTTTCTTTTTTTTTAACTGATTTTGGGAGTAAGGATCAGATTCTATCAAGAGGGATGTTATAATCTCTAGAAATATGAAATTATCTATTTGTCCCATTAATTCTGTCAGTTTTTGCTCTAGTCCATTGACATATAATATAATTATTGATATGGTTAAACCTAAGCCAAGCAGTTTATTGTTTTCTGTCTTCTTCTTTTGTTTTTGTATCTTTATTCCTCATTTTCAGCCTTTCTTTGGTAGTGGGAAGAATATATGAAATTTTTATTTCATTTTAATTTATCTTTTGATTATATTGCTTTGAATTGTATTTTAGTGGATGTTCTAAAGATTATATTATACATCTGTAATGTTCCCCGTATTCTTAAAGTTACTATTGTATGACAACATAAAATGCAGAAACCTCACATTTCTATATGTCCATTTACTCTTTCCCTCACTGTCCTTTATACTGTAGCTGTCGTGCGTATCATGTATACATACACTATAACCGCAAAAAACAGGTGATAAGTGATGTATGAATAGTTTTTGTGATGATTAAGTATCTTGTTGGAGTTGGCTTTTCTTCCCTTTGCTTTCAACTGAATACAGAAATTGCACACCAAAAATGATGACAGGGATAAGAATAGAGGGAAAAACATTGAATTAGGAGCCCATAACTTTAATGAATGAGGAGGAATGACCCAGTTTTGTAGATGACAGCACTGAGAATGTGTAACTGGTAGGGATTTTTGATATAAACTTTAAAAGCTGTTAGTTTTGAAAGAACAAAAAGGAAAAATATGTGAAAGAGCCAATGAAGAGTAAGAAGGACTCATAGCTGACCTTCTAAGCCCTGAGATATGTGGGAGCATAGAAAATAAAACAGCTTGCAGGTTAGCAGGGTCCTCAGAGGAGACCAGTTAAGACAAGGAGGTCAAGCAAAGGGGCTTAGGATATAGGAGAATTGTTGATCGTAGATCCAAAGAGTTTATGACCACAGCAAAAGAGTTTAGCAGGGAAAGGAGGGGTTCAAGATTGGGTTATAGGGATTAATGGTGGGAATGATTTAATTTCTCCCAGTCACTTTTTCATTGGCAGAGCCTGAACTGTGAGTGTTCACTCTCCTCCAGGAGGGCATGTGTTCAGTAAAGGTTATCTTCCTCTCAAGCCCAGGAATCTCATAATTAGTCCATCAGCCAATCCAATATAATTCTCTTCTCTCTGACAATGACTGATTTGAGAAAGGGTAAATGACCTTATTATGTCTAATGGGAGAAAAATTGAGCTAAGATCTTTTACAAAAAGTTTTTCTTTGTTAAAAGAAACACAAAAGAGGGAATAGTTGTTCTTGTGTGTACTTGTTTTTCCTGAACATAACTGAGTGAATATGTGATGCCTGGGACTGTAATGCCCATCTTAGTACCACAAGGAGAAATTCTAATGTAAAGCAAAAACTGTTATTCCTTGCTGCTTTTTTTTTTTTTTTTTTTTTATTTCTATATTTAATTTTGGTGGGTTCTGTAAAAGATGAGAAGCAAAAGTTCATGGTCAAGCGTCCATCTTAATTTAATAAAATATATATATTTTTATAATTGCAAGAATATTGTCAGTTTATTATAAGAAATAAAACAATAACAGATTGTATAGAGTAGAAATTAAACATCCCCACCCTTACCATTTTTGTCTAAGAATATGAAATAACTTCCCTAAACACATTTGTATTTTTTAAAAAACAAATATTGTACGATGTTAAAAATCATTAACCCTGTTTTCATTTAATGATACAAAGAGGGAAAGCATCACAGAGAAGATAATACTTGAGGAGTCCTAATAGATGGTTAATAGTTTGCAGATAGTAAAGGGTAGTGAATAGAAGTAGTAGTGGAGGGAGACTTAGGTAGATGAGACAATATCTATGTCTGAGAGAAGACCTTGTGAAAGCCTAAAAAGTATGAGAGAGCATAATCATTTCAGGAGTAAAATGATTATACTCAAAGACATAGAACAGAGAAGCTTGTAAAGAGAGTGGAAGGAAATGAAGCTCAAAGGTGGAAGGGAAAATTGGACCTAAAAGGTCCATATATGCCATGTTGGAGTGTGAACTTTATAATGCAGGGTGTAGGGAACTGCAGAAGGATTTTAAGCAGTTGGGTAATAACAATCAGATGAATTATTTAGAAATACCACTATTTCTCAAGACCAGACAACAATAATTTCAGATTCTAGCCCCAGTATTTATTAGCTGTAAAATTATGAACAAGTTATTTAATCACTCTCTCAGTTTCCCCCTTTGCAACATGTCCATAATGGAAGAAGGACTGACAATTAAATGAGATAACACATGTGAAAGTGCCTGTAGTGCACTTGGCATATAAAAAGTTTTCAATAAATGTTAATTTCTCTACTGCTGTATATTTTTTGGTTTTCCTCTAGTTGACTAAAAAAAAAACAATTTACAAAAGTATTTCTTATTGCCGTAAGGATGCTGTGGTGGGGGAGGGTTGGGAACTTTTAAAATATTATTCACCTCAAGCAAAATGAATCTCACTGAGAACTACATTTGTGAGGTCACTTAAATGCTACAACTTATTTACACCCAGAACCAAGAGAACATTGCCCAAATTCAATTCAACAAACCTGTACTTCCTGGGGAACAGGCAAGAGCTAAGCACTAGGGAATATAAGAGTAAAAATGCATAGACCTTAACCTCAATGAGATAAATAAGCAACTACAAACATGCTATAATCAACAGTAGAAGTATATAAGTTAAATGTAGAAGTTCTTGACTGGCCCCGGCAAACATTAAGCTTTTTGTAAATTTTATTTTATTTTTTTCACAAAATGTCCTCTCTTTGCTGATGAGGAGCAAGAAAGAGCACTACTGGTACAGAAGAATGACATTCTTCCAGTGTATCTTCTCATATCTGGGCCTCTGCTGATTGTTGCTTACCATGGAATGTGTTCTTTTCTAAGGGAGCATAATATGAAAACTGCAGTTGCACTCAGATAATTTAAAAATTGTCATATGTAGAAACTGGTCACTCTAGCTTTTTTTTTTTTTTTTTTAATCTCATATAGAAATGATAATGTCTAAAGGATGAGTAAAACATCTTGAATTGTTCTCAGGCACATTGAATATTGTCTATAACTCCCATTTGTATTTTATTCTCATTTTAGTTCTTTTACAAAGCTACCTCATCTGGCAGGAACAGAACAAAATTTACTGCTTGCCAAGAAGATCCAAACCCAGTGGAAGAAGTTTGGACTAGATTCAGCCAAGTTGGTTCATTATGATGTTCTCCTATCTTACCCTAATGAGACAAATGCCAACTACATATCAATTGTGGATGAGCATGGAATTGAGGTGATGTGGAATTGTTGGTACATTTGAATTTGATAATCCTGCCCTTTTATATGTATTACAATGTAGGGTCAAGGAAAAATAGAAAGTTTTTAATAATGCAATAGAACTCACATTTTTAAGAAAAACAAATAAGTTGCAAGCTAATTATTTAGTGTCAATTATTATGTGTTAGTCATGGTGGTAGGTTCTGACGTCAAAATGGAGACTAGGACATGGATCCTTTCCTTAAGTAAGGTGAGGCAGACAATGGAATGCCTCATTTCAAATCAATGTGGTAAGTTCTCTGAAGAGTATGATTAGGGCTCTTTATCTACATAGAAAAGAATCACTTAGTCCAGCCTTGGAGTTAGAGAAGCCTTCCTAAAAGAGTTGATATGTGAGTCATGAAAGATCAAAGGGGTTGACTAAATTAAAAAACAAGGTAAGAGAATTCTAGGCAAAAGAAAATACTGGCAAAGGTTTGGAAACATATAGCCACTAGCTTAGTATTATGAGGAGAACTTAAAATTTTTCTGCATTTCATGAATGTAAAATACAAAGTGAGCCATGATAAAAACATAAGCAAGTAGATATGTTCTGCGGACAGGTCAGAGAAGGACTTTTATGCTGTACTAAGGAGCTTTGACTTCAACTTCAGTCCATGGGAGATAATGACAATTCCTAAGTAGGGGAAGGATGTAGCTAGAGAGGCATTTTAGATGGATTGGGCATTCAAAAGATTACACCTAGACAAGGCAAGGAGTTCAAAGTTTCAGTCTTAATACAATAGTCCAGGCAAAAGATGATGCAGTCCTGAATTAGGATTTTAGTAGGAAGAAGGAAGATTGATGGATTTGAGAAATAGTTAGGAGGTGTATTAGCAGGACTAAATTAGTGATTGACTGGAGGAAAGAGGTGAAGAGGGAGTTCAGAGTGATTCCTAGACTATGTGGTATTGATGGCTAACTAGTGAGGCTGTTAATAGAGGTAAGAAATTCAGAACCAGAAGCAGGCCTAGGGATGGGAGAAGATAAATACAAATTTTAACATGTTGAGTTTGGACTCCAAATAGAAATAAAATAAGGCTCTTAAATATGTAAGTCTGAAAAACTGAGCTTCATAAGCATATTAGCTATAGAAAAAAGTCTGGTAGTCAATTAAATCTCACAGGGAGAGAGTGTAGAATGAGGCAAGCAGGGGGCTAGGGATAAAACATGCAAAGCATTACTTAAACGAAGACAAAAGAAAAAGGTTGCATAAAGGAAGCTGAAAAGGCATAGTCAAAAAAGGAGAATCATGAGAATACCACCTTTGAAACCCTGTTTTTTTATTTTATAAGGGAAATTTTAATTACCTGGGATTGTATGTACTTAAAAATTTTCTATTATTTTGAAAACAATAATAAAGTCTTGCCAGAAGCAGGCAAACACACCCAGGGTCATAGGCAGGAGACAAAGGGAGCCCCTGCCGCCCAGACACAGGGAGGCAACTGAACACACTTGGGGTCCTAGGCAGGAGCTGAGGGCAGCATCCTGTGCCCAGAAGCAGACAAGGAGCATGCCAAAAACACCACTTCCGCATGGGTGGCCCACCACTGCCACAGCCACTGCTGCTGCAAAAGCGGCTTGATGCCACAGCGGTAGCCACAGCCACTGCACAGGTGGCCCACCAGACACTTGACTGCATTGACACTAGGAGAGTCACCAGCAGGGACTTGAAAAAGAGGACATCTCTCTCCTCAAAGCCCACTACAGAGTAACAGAAGAAGCAATTGCTCTACCATATGGCCAGATGTCATTGTAGAGATACTGGAAATTCAAAAAGCCAAGAAAATATGACACCCCCAAAAGAATACAGTAATTCTCAAATACCAGACCATATAGAGCAGGAAGCTCTTGAAATGACTGAAAAGGATCTCTGCACAACAATCTTAAGGAAACTCACTGAGACAGGAAAAGACACAGACAACATAATGAAATGAGGAAAAATGTCCAGGATGTGAAGGAGGAAATTTACAAGGAAATTAATACCTTAAAAAAGAATTTGGCAGAACTCGTGGAACTTAAAGATTCACTCAATGATACGAAAAAAACACAGAGAGCTTAAGCAGTAGGCTAGAACAAGCAGAAGGAAGAATTTCTGATCTTGAAGATATTCTTTTCAAAATAATCCAGGCAGAAAAAATAAAAAGGAAAAAAGAATTTCTAAAACTGAAAATCTAAGAGAGATAGCAGACAACCTGAAGTGCACAAACCTTCAAATCATGGGGGTTCCAGAGGGGGAGGTGAAAGGAAAAGGCATGGAAAACCTGTTCAACAAAATAACAGAAAACTTCACAGCTATAGGGAGTCTTTCTCTCCAACTTGATGTGTTTCAATTCTTGCTAGATTTTCAAAACATCATACCTTGAACCACCACCACACGGACTTTCAGATCCAGGAGGGACAAAGATCCCCAAACAGATTCAACCCAAAAATCCTCTCCAAGACACATTATCATCAAAACAGCAAAGCTCAAAGAATCTTAAAAGAAGTAAGAGAAAAGCATCAAGTCACCTATAAGGGAGCTCTAGAAGAAAATGGGGTGATATACTCAAAATACTCAAAGAAAACTGCCAGCCATGAATACTGTATCCAGTAAGGCTATATCCTTCAGAAATGAGGGAAAAATAGCGCATTTTCCAAACAAACAAAAAATGCAGGAGTTGACCCCCATGCGACCAGCTCTACAAGAAATCCTCAAGGAAGTCCTGCATCTGGAATCCGAAAAAATGACAGTCACTACCACAAATACACAAGAAAAAACAAAACACTCTGGTAGAACAAAAATGCAAATGAGAAAGAGAAAGAAACTAAATCTTACCACCACAGAAAGCTGTAATGACAATGTAATAATACCCTTGCTTTATTTCTGATTTTAGTAATTCATTCGTCTTTCTTCTTTCTCATGGTCAGTCTAGATAAAGGTTTGCAAATTTTATTGTTCTTTTTAAAGAATCAATTTTTGGTTTTGTTGATTTTCTCCATTGTTTTTTAATTCTCTATTTCATATATTTCTGTTGTAATATTTATTTCCTACTTATATTTGCTTTTGGTTTATTTGCTCCTCTTCTGTTTTCTTAAGGTAGAAATTTGCATTACAGATTTGAGATTTTCATTGTTTTTAATATAAAATTCTCTATTTCATATATTTCTGTTGTAATATTTATTTCCTACTTATATTTGCTTTTGGTTTATTTGCTCCTCTTTTTCTGTTTTCTTAAGGTAGAAATTTGCATTACAGATTTGAGATTTTCATTGTTTTTAATATAGGTCTTTACAAGTACAAATTTTCCATTAAGTACTGCATGAGCCCTTCATTCTATAAATTTTGATATGTTGCACTTTGATTTTTTATCTCAAAGTACTCTCTAATTTCCGTGATTTTTCTTTTTATCCATTGTTTATTTAGGAGAATGTTGTTTAATTTCCACACATTTTTGAATTTTCTGAATTTCCTTCTGTTATTGTGGCCAGAGAACATATTTTCTAATATCTTAGTCTTTTTAAATATATTAAGATTTGTTTTGTGGCCAAATATAAATAAATTTTAAAAATAAAAAATAATTATAAAGTCTTTCTTATTGTTGTCAGTGGAATTTACCTATTTAATTATAGAACCTAGCTCCAGGATGCTTAATCTTAAGAGTATTCTTGGGGGCAAAATGAATTATACCTTAATAATGATCTGGAGTCTTTCTCTCCAACTTGCTGTGTTTCAATTCTTGCTAGATTTTCAAAACATCATACCTTGAACCACCACCAGAAGGATATGAGAATGTTACCAATATTGTACCACCATATAATGCTTTCTCAGCCCAGGGCATGCCAGAGGTAAGATAAAAGCCATTTTTCTTTCTTTCTTTCTTTTTTTCCTATGTGGAGGACTAAAACCTAGGGGATTAGGTAACCGTATATGTTAATCCATTGTTTGACGCTCAGTTGTACGAAAACCTTGCCCCCCAAATTAAAAATAATAATAATAAAACAGAAAAAAAAAACCCTACAATAGGAAAATAGAAAAAAAGAAAGAAAATAAATACATTAAAAACAGAACCTGATGCTACTCTTTGAAATGACAAAGAAACTGCTGAACCTGCCTTTAATTCAGCGAAGGGCAACAGGTGTTTTTACAAGCTTTTCATTGCCAATATCTGAATTTTTGTTAGGTTTGTATTTGTAGATCTAATTTTATAGATAATGCCACAGAAGTTCTTAAATTAATGTCATGGTTGGAAATTAAATATAGTTGGGATTTTTAAAATGATATTTATTTTCTCTATTTTTTGCAGAGCAATATATTAGGATAATTTCTTTAAAACAGAAATCATTGTTTAAAATATGTCTTGGGAGCTGGCCACTTAGCTCACTTGGGAGAGTGTGGTGCTAATAACACCAAGGTCAAGGGTTTGGATCCCTGTACTGGCCAGCCACCAAAATCATTAAATAACTATAATAAAATATATCTTATATATTATCACTTTTTTAAAACTATTCAGGATTTTGAAAGATTCTCTAAAGCCTTCTGCCCATGCATCTGTTTATCAATCCCAAATAAGAAAGGAAAACTTTTGATTGATGCATGCAGTATTGCATAGCAAACTCATTTTTCTGTTGCTGTTTTCTCTTTAACAGTACTATGTATTTTTTATTTTCTTTTCTGTATAGGGAGATCTTGTATATGTGAACTATGCCCGTACTGAAGACTTTTTTAAACTAGAAAGAGAGATGAGCATCAACTGCACTGGAAAGATTGTTATTGCAAGATATGGGAAAATCTTCAGAGGAAATAAAGTAGGGTGTTATTTGTTTTTCTAGAGGGAAGGAGAGAGGATATATCCTATAAATGTAAATAATTAACTTGCTTTACAAGTTTCCAAATTTGCAAAAAGAAAAAAAAAGATTGTTTATTTTTTGCTAATAGCCATGGGCACACAGAAAATCCAGTGTATATGTTAACTCACATATCTAGAAAGGGAAATCATTTTTAATTATTGTAATTATAGAAGTATTATTTGTTTTTTAAAATTTAATTAATGTAAATTTATATAAACTAAAAAGTAAAAGCTTCCCTGTATTACTCAACTTCATTGCCCAGACATAACCAATCTTAATAGCTGTTTCTAGACCTAATTCTGTGGAATATATATGTTTTATATACCCACTTCACCTATGTATATGCACACATTCATACATATTTATACACAAGAGGGAAGTTCAAAAGTTTGTAGGAAAATGAAAAAAGATAATAAAAATAAAAAATATAAACTTTATTTCTAAACATAAGCTTCATCAAGTTCAAGACATTTTTTAAACTAATGATATTAGCTATTTAGTCCATTCCTAAAGAACTGAGGGTGCTGGGAATTTAACTAGGTCAATGCATTCTTTTTTACATTGTTAGAAAAAATGGGTGGCCTTTAAAGAGTTGTTAAGATTAGGAAACAAAAAGTCAGAGGGAACCAAATCAGGACTCTGTGGTGGATACCTAAAAATTCCCATCAAAACTCTCACAAAATTGTTGTTTGATGAGAGAAATAAGCCAGGTCATTGTCTTGTGGAGAGAGACTCTCTGATGAAGCTTTCCTGGGCATTTTTCTGCTAACGCTTTGGCTAACTTTCTCAAAACACTCTCATAATAAGTAGGTTCTTTGACCTTCCAGAAAAACAAGTAAAATGTCTTGAGCATCCCAAAAAGCTGTTTCCATGACCTTTGCTCTTGAGGGGTCTTCTTTTGCTTTGACTGGACCACTTCCACCTCTTGGTAACCATGGTTTTGATAGTGCTTTGTCTTCAGGATCATACTGGTAAAGCCATGTGTCATCTTTTATTAAAATTCTCTGAAGAAATGCTTTAGGACTTTGATCTCACTTGTTTAAAATTTCCACTGATAACTCTGTTCTTGTCTGCAGCTGATCTGGATGCATCAATTTTTTTGGTACCAATTGAGTGGAAAATTTACTCAACTGTAATTTTTTAGTCAGAATTGTGTAAGTTGGACCAATTGAGATGTCTGTGGTGCTGGCTATTATTTCTACTGTTAATCATTGATCCTCTTCAACTAGAGCACAGACAAAATTCACTTTTTTCTTTGCAAATTGATGTGGATGTTCTGCTGCTGCAGGCTTCACCTTCAACATCATCTTGCCCTTCTTAAAATGAGTTTTCCATTTGTAAACTGCTAATTTCTTTGGGGCATTGTCCCCATGAAGTTATTGTACAGCATCAATGCTTACACCATTCTTCTACCCAAGCTTCAACATCAATTTGATGTTTGTTCTTGCTTTAATTGTAGCAGAATTCATGTTGCTTTGACAGGGGCTCTTTTCAAACTGCTGTCTTATCTTACTTAGTGCCTCAAACTAGATCCTGTTCAGAGATGTTATAACAAGTTAGTACGAGTTTATTTTGGTGCAGAAAAAATTTTTGAAATGCATGCATACTGTTTTCATAATATGCATTTTCTATGAACTTTTGAAGGCACCTTGTGTATATACACAAATAAAGTTGCACAATATACAGTATATGATGCCCACCTTGTAAAAAAACATTACAAGGTGGGCATCATATACTGTATATTGTGTAACTGTATTTTTTCACTCAGCCATATCTCATGGGTATTCTTCAATGTCAGCACATTGAGTGATGTATAATATAGTAGATAAGCATATAGCACCCTAGATTCATACCACCTGTGTCTGATCTAGCAGGACCCTCTTATCTAGATCTTTTACTGTGAGTAAATTACTTAACCTCTCTGTGCCAAAATTTCCTCATATATAAATGGGAATGCTGAAATAGCACCAATCTCATAGAGTCCTTATTAGGATTAAATGAGTTTATGTTTGAAAGCACTTAGGATAATGGCTGGTATTTAGCAATGTCTACATAATTGCTTATTGAATACCTCATTATTTTAAATGATGGCATAATATTTTACAGAATTGATAAGCAACTTATTTAATTGTTCACCTGGTGATGAATACTTGGCTTGTCTTGAATTTGTTACTACCACAAATAATTCCATTGTGAAATCCTGATTCATATGCAGTTCAAACATTTGTTTGAAGATTTTTGTAGTATAAATTCTTAGAAGTGAAATGGCTGAGTCATAGTGTATATTCTTTCAAAATTTTGATAGGCATAATCAAATTGCCCTTCAAAAAAGTTGCAACAAATTATACTTCCACCTTCCACTTTATATAGCAGACTGCTTTCTGAATATTGGAATGCCTTTTAGTGAACCAAGAATGATAGTTATCCATCTTTTGCTACAGTACTTCTGATAATGAAGAATGCAGCATCTCACAGGGTAGATTTTCCTATTCTTGGCCAGTTTGAATTGTTAGAAAGATATTTACAAAAACACTTCGGGAAGTCTTCCATACACTATTACTGTCCTGCATAAAATTTTAAATCAGTTTAGTTCCACAAAAATTTGTAGAGTGCTTACTCCATGATGTGCTAAATTTTGAAGGGTGGGTAGTTAAAAGTGAATAAGACATAGTACATGTTCTCAATAACACCCTCAGTCTAGTAAGGGAGACAGACATTTAAAAGTATTTTTAATACACTATGATCTATCCTACAGTAGAAATATATATAAAATACAGAAGTACAAAGAAGAAGGGAGGCATTCATTTTGCAGTTTGGGGGACAATAGGAATGTTTCATAGAGACGGTGATAACTTGTTTAGAGTTTTATAGAATAAACGGAAGTTTCTTAGGTCTACCAAGAGGGAAATTGTGTTCAATGAAAGGAGAACTGAATGTGTAATGGCACAATAAAAAGCAGTGTTTATATTTCCTTCCATTATTAAATTGATTTTTTTCTTATGTGAAAAGCCAATCATTTGCCATTCT